AAGGCAGAGAAGGGAGCACGAATACCACGTACAGGAAAGTTTTTTCAACAAAGAAGCACGTGATAGAACTCGTTTTTTGGAAAAATGAGACGGAGAACAACGTTGACCAAACGAAGATAGTAAGGGTTAGGCTTTCCCATCCTATAAAAAATAACTGGTGCACATTCAATGTTTAGAAATTGAAAAAGTTCTCTTGATACAATCAAACAGGTACGAAACTCTTTGCGAACAATCAGTATTTTCTATATCAGCAATGCATGAATAACAAATTGATCTGGCCATTTCAGTTCCCTCACAACAAGGATGGCTATTTTTAAGAGAATGAGAATAGGAAGACCTATTACCAGAATGAGACAACAAGTTTCTTGGACTCCTACTAGCAGAGAGAGCCTGCTCAAGAGAAACAGTTTCTTGTCTGAGGCGAGTATTCTCAGCGGTCTCATTTTCTAGGCGCTTCTCAAGAAGAACATTTTTGCGAAGCGCTTCCGTTTCAGTTTCGGTGGCCCTATCCAAGAGGTGGCATATAATGGTTTTTAGATGCGATGGCAAGACGCTATCCGCGTTCAACAGAGCAATCGCATAGTGCACCGGTCCCATCATCATCACTTGGAGTTGAAACAGGGGGCTTCCTCTTGACCCTACGCTCGTTATTGCCGCATCGAGAGACTGGCGTATCCATCAGTGAAAAAAAGAAAGAATAAGAAGGGCAAAAACGTCGATCTCCATATACTTAGACTTCAAATAGCAAAGAAAAGAAGGAAAATAATAAAGTCCGACGAGAGCCCACGACGGTGTAAAAAACCTTTGAATGACTGAAAGGGGATGGTGGCTTTATAAAAAGTGAAGATGACCCTCGCCACTAGGGTTGTCGCAGTGGATGGACGCAGAGCGGAGCAGATCGATCCACGGTTCAAAGATCGTCGATCAAGGTACGAAAGTTGATTAAGTAGTGAATAAAACTTTGAATCAGTGTCCCAGCGAATATAGTAGTAGAACAGAATTTTTTGCAGCAGTCAGGACCCAGTACGAGCCGAATTAGGAAGTAGACGCTAGGGGATCCGATATATTAGGTTGTCCGGAAAGGAATGCGCGTTGAATTTTTTGAACTTGTCCATTTTTTTCTCTCCTACTATAGAAGATTTTTGGAGACAGTTTTGTCTATTAGAAAGAGATTTTTATTGTGCTTCTTTTGATATATTGTCTCCTTTGCTTTTTTTGGCGGACTTTGCTTTTTTTTGGGGAAAAAAGTTGGGAAGAGCGGGTGCCGCACCAGCTGAGCGACGCAAACAAGGCAACACGAGTGGCAATGGCCGGAATTCTTCTTCGTCGCTCCAAGAACAGCGGTTTTTTCGACTCTATTATTACATCAAATGAGAAAAGGGTCTGCTTCGATAACGCAACGAGAAAAGGACAGTGGTTAGACTCCAGTGACCCTCCAAAACGGACTCCGAAACCTGATATACGCGGCAAAAAGGTGATGCTCCGTGTTTGGTGGAATAGCAAAGGTTTGATGTACTTTGAAGTTCCGGAATCGGGTCAGACGGTTACGGCGGACATCTGCAAACACCAATTGAACCGCATGGATCCAGCACTGCGTCTTCAAAGTGTCGAAACGACGTCGACAAAATTTATCCACGACAACGCTCATCCACATGTGGCGAAAATCACTCTAGAAAAAAATTGAGGAATTGGGCTGGAAAGTCCTGCCTCATCCGCCACACAGATCAGACCTGGCACCATCGATTACCATCTGTTCCGGTCGATGCAGAACTCCCTGGCCGAGAGAAAATTCACAAACCGCGAAAAAGGTCCAACTCTGGGTGTCCAACTTCTTTGAGTCGCAGCCGGTCGAGTTCTTCAGAAGAGGAATCCATTTTTTGCATAAATGTTGACAACAAGTCATTGATACTAATGGAGATTGTCTTTTGAATTTATCTTGTTTAATTTCGTTTTTATAATAAAAAATTTTTTAAGCTCGAACGCGCATTCCTTTCCGGACAACCTAATAGGAGAAAACTGCAGGGAAGTACTGAATCAATATCAGAGACCACTCCGTAGAACCGGCCGCACGCAAAGGACGCAGGCGACTGGAATGAATCGTGCACGAAATTGTAAGATGTCGCGTAACCCCATGTTCATAGAGGAAGGGGGGAGGGTACACAACACAAGTAATAATGCGCCCAGCGCGATGCAGGGAGGGATTCCAATGAATTTTATTTAGATTTCCGGGGAACCTCTACTTCGTACTATTGACGTGAAGTTGGCACGAAACGTTCACGCTACTAAAGTTGTTTTATGTGAAGGTGATAAATGCTGTGTACATCTCTGAAGTGATCTCATCTGAAAGTGATAAGAATAATGCTGCGTTATGGGCAAAACGCAGAAGGGACTGGAGCCTGCACATAACGGGCGAGTACGCTATTCCCCACGCCACCAGGACCCCCTTAACTTATAGTCTTCAGTGTTACGTTATTACTCTACTGCGAAGTTCCCTTTCGGAACTGGACGTCATCTGATATGCCACGTATTGAATTTGAATCAAGCTTGACTTTTAGGTGTGCATAGTTAAACATGCAGCCATTCGGGTGCGGCGTCCAGAGGGACAGACTGAGCCCGCCTCCGGCTGCCTTGCTCTACCTGATTATCGATTAGCGGTCGTATCAGGATGAAAACACCAGTAGTGGAAATGGCCCGGGCTCATCAGTCCTCTTGGAACCGGGCCGACTGATTGCGACGATATCAACTGTATCTCCCTCAGTTTCTCCTTTCAGTTCACAAGTCGATCAGAAAAAGCACAACTTTATTAATTCAATCCGCAAATGAAATCTCTTCCAGTGTGCATAGTCTGGTTCGCTGCGGATGATGGGGCGTGGCCGCGCAAGTCGGGTTGGCGCGGCGTCCACCCGTTTTTCTCCAGAAAGGACTGTATCATATCGTTCCTGTAAGTCGTTTAGCTCCAGTTGTTGTCACTTACCCACTTCAACAACTGATGGAGAATGGGCTTGGCAGTGGGCCAGACGCACTCGCGCGGCTACGTTCCATCATTCGCAGTGAGTCGGACTGTCGCTTGCCGAGGAACTTAAAGAATATCGACAGTACGGTATTGAATGCTTGTGTAATAAGCCGTGTAGCAGATCTACGAAACGGACGAATGACTATCAGATACATAATGCTTGTAGATAGAGCAAATAATGAAATCGGTATGCACAGCATGGTATAAAGATGAGGCCTGAAATTAAATGACGGCATGAATGAATGAGGAAAGAGTTTGGTCACTTTGTTGAATGTGAAACATTTTGCGGGGTCTTCAAGCGATCTTCTCTCGCGCTTACCAACCCTAGGTGCGGTCATCACTGGGTACAGTCAACTGCTCACCAGGAAAGGATGGTTGGTCGAAGCGGCCATTAGAAATGAGTTGTATACCGGCTGGACACTATGTCAAATTGTCCTTCAAATGCTAAACGATTCTCCTGAGCAGAATTATGGAGGCTTGTTGAGCAGACCACTGCTCGAGACCACCAATGCTCAGCAAGTATCTAAATGATGGGTGAGCTCATTGCACACGTGCCTCAATGGCGTAGTGGAGAAGCGGGCGGCCTCATGTGTGCAAGGTCAAGGGTTCGGATCCTTCCGTAATTTGTCGTTTTGCATTTTCTCAAAAATGCTTCTTGCACATCCTAAAAGCACTTTTGCGGGGGTAGGAGACCTGATCCCACCGAAAAATTTTATTTCTGAAGGAATGGAGCCATTCTGGAACACTCCTGAAAGGACATCCTTGATTGTTGGTTTCGGCGGCATTATTCGTTGCGTTGTGTTGTGTCGCCAAACTGATTCCAAATGGCATGGAAGCCAAAGATGGATGTCGTGGTTGTGATCAGGACCGTCATAACCAGCAAGGACTGAAATTCAGCGGAAAAGCTCCATTGCTCACAGAGATTTGATCGGCGATAGTGCCAGCGACCTTAAGGAATTTGATGCCCATGGTTACCCCACTGTATCGAAATAGGTCGAAATCTCAAATTTGGTTGAAAACTTGTCTCTAGGGCTAATTTGAGCCCCAGAACACGAATATCACACTCGTTCGGCGTAAAAACGCTTGCCAAGGACGTTGCAGGTTCCTGCACACCCTGCCCCTGCGAACAAGATATTTTCACGAAAAATGACTGCAGTGTTGATTTCCAGGGCACCAGAGCACCTCTAATTTCAGATTTCAGCGAATTTGGGCGTTTTGGTGTACCTTATATACATGCTGGAAATGGGTGTGACCTGGTCAAAATTCCTGCATAACTTTGTCCAGGGAATCGTTTAGCAGATATGGAGGGCAGATTTGTAATCAGTACCTAACATCCTTTCCTGGTGAGTCGGGCATGTCGACTGCGCATGGATTTTGGCACGGCGCAGCCCTTTCTCATCAATCACTGCAGCTTCGGGAGTTAGTGAGTGGTAAGAAAGGGGGCTGGCGCCATGTCAAAATGGCATGTCAAGGTCTAAGATATACGGAATAAGTATATCTCCCTCATCCTCGAAACCAAGAAATCATTTGATGACAGTATCACTTCTACTCCAATCTTTTCGTATAAAAACATCTATTTTTGTAGCTATAACATAATACCAACAAATGTTTCATTTCCAGCCAAAAATCGTATCGAGTGTGAAGTTTTCGCGGTCCGAATTCAATGCCATTTCACTCCCGCGCGGAAGCCAAATAAATTCCATGGAAATTGCACTTCATGTCCCGGAGATGAAGGAGGCGTGGCTGATCTCATCTGAACGTGGGGGCGGCAGCGCCTTAGTGAAACGTAGATCTTTTGGAGAATCGTAGGCATCCAACGCAGTGCAGGAAAAACTACTACCCTCAAATAGAGAGATTCAAAAAAACATAATCTGCGCCATGTTACGATTACACACGCGGCCATGCCTTTCCAGTTCCGGATATGGACCGTATAACAGTAGCAGAATTTGTGGTGGATTATGAAACTAGACGTACTGTATGACAAAACTCACATTGCAGTCATCCATGACAGCTGAAAAAATACCGTGATGACAAATAGCATAACGGGTAGGCCGAGCTGAACGAAAAGTATGACACAATACATGACCAGAGAAACGACCACATTGATGTGAAGGCGATATGTTTTGGCAGAGAACTCATGCCTTCTTGCACGAATGCGCAGAATAACCCTGAAGTATCAACTGAAAAGCAAAAAAGCAGAGGCTGTACAGTTTCTATAAAGTACTTCTATAAACTATTTTTTGTTATTTGATAATTTCTTCATTTCTGAACTCAAACTGGTGTACATGAAGAGACCTTAATCCCAACAACTTGCTGCTAATTTTCTGCTGATATAACTGACCATGCAGAAAGCGGAGCAATCGTAAGTGGTGTTCCCGGCCTCTGTATGATCCTAAGATCAAATCTTGGTACAAGTCTTGTAAGAGCCGAAGAAGCTCGTTCCCTTCCTCAAGGGAGCTTGAACTGCTACCGGACCTGCCGACGGGTAGGGTTAACTAACTAACTAATAATTCCTAGCCGAAAAGTCATTGTGAGCCGTTTTAGAGGCGATATTCGGTGTTTGTTATACGTATAGGCATAGTCCAGAGAAGGGTTGAAGAGTTGCCCCGCTTAGCTGTTCAAAATTAAGTGTTGAGGGCGGGAAAATTTGCTATTGCCCGCTTTGAGGCATTCCGTTTGTCTTCATACGAGCTTCCGCTGCTTCTATTGACAAACTGATGCACTCTATTTCGAATTCTCCTTATATCATGGCGGTTTTATCTACGGGACTCTGGAATATTATATACTTGTATCAGAAACACTTGAGTTCAAGCGAGGTGCATGGTTTTTTTTATTTTGCGCCACAATCTTTGAGGGCCTGCAAGGCTACGACAGAGTTCATATTTATTTGGTCCAAAGAGTTTCTATATATGACTAATCAGTGCCGATAGAACTTACTGTATCTTACAAGGGAGGTCTTTCAGGTCGTGGCGCGCTTTTTGGAAATGGTTTGTTGCTTGTTGTAGGGGTCCATACAAGGATCACAAAAATGGGTTTCATTTTTGCTATGCATTTCTGGGGAGGTCCAGAATTGAGAGGAATGGGCGATTTTAACTATCTTAATGGGCTCGTCTGATTGTAACTTCCGAGCATGCATAGTTTATGAGGTGCTCGTTAATTAGGCTTCGAAAATGGTTTTAAATGAAGTCAAAATGTAAGTATCATGTAGTAACACACTTGGCATGCACCGACGCAACAGTGATGTTTTTGTCAGCGGTCCCCTCATGCTCACTGTCGGCGGATCGGATGGCGCAGCGGATAACTCGATGGATTCTGGATGGGACGACGATACGATACTTCATTTGAACTATTTTCGAAGCCTAATTAACGAGCACCTCATAAACTATGCATGCTCGAAGTTACAATCAGAACGGAGCCCATTAAGATAGTTAAAATCGCCCATTCTTGTCAAATTCTTTTCACTCAGTTTTTGACCTCCCCAGAAACGCATAGCAAAAATGAAACCCATTTTTGTGATCCTTGTATGGACCCCTACAAGCAACAAACCATTTCCAAAAAGCGCGCCACGACCTGAAAGACCTATCTTGTTAGTGATACGAAAGAAAGATGGTCGGGGCTTCGGACGCTAACCTTCACTGATGAGAGTTGTACGGATAGCTTACAACTCGCATCCTCGGGGGCTCTGAGAACCGAATCGAACGTCATTTTCATCGGAACTATAGTGTAACCAAGTACCATTAATTGAACAAATACTAGTAAATGGACTGAAGATACTGAATTAAAGAGGGATTCCTTTGTTACCACCTTCACTGAAAATCTGATGCCCAGGGCGAAAACAACTTCCCCGACGGAGTGAATGATGTGGAACACTCTTTAAACGTGTTGATATCAAGCATGAAGCACGATTTTCCGGTGAATCAACATCACGGTGGAGGTGGACATGAATTTTGAGAAAGCAAAACAGTTATGATTAGCCTTTTACATAGGAAACGTCCATGATCAGATATTCTCTACGCAGTAGGACATAAATAGCGATGTCGAAAAGCTAACGGTGTATAAGAAGAAATTCTGGGCAACGCCCGTTGAATCTTTCCCCCACCCCTCCCCGCCTCAGCCCCCCCCCTCTCCTCTTAGTAAGTAAGAGAGCTGGTAAACTATGTGGCTGGATGAGGCGACAAGACAACGGTGTTACGGTCAATATGGTCGCCGCAATTGGTCCCAGCTGATTTTTTTATTGACAGCTATCACCTACGTTCCCTGCCTAGGCTATATTGTGAGTTTTCTGATGTTATAGCCAAACAATAGAGCGATGTGCGGTGCCCACGAAAGTGCTGCAAACGCTCCCACTGCCGGACCAAGTTAGTTGCTCACGGGGGAACAGTAGCTTCTCCCGCGAGCAACTAACTTGGTAGAGTAGGGATTCAGTTGCGAAGCTTGCCTTTAGAAGAAAAGACTCAAGGAGCCGAGAACAATTTCGGGATACGTTTGATCCTCCACGAAGTTATTAGATGTTACCGATTACCTGATGATCACTGCACTTCCAACGATTGCTGCAACAATGTAAAAAAGAAGTAGGAATATAAGGCACAAATCGACGCCCATCGCAGCAAATTTGTCCACAAAGACGGCGTTCCTTGGGTCTGCTATCAGCATCGACGGAATTGACTGTGTTTCTCTCAATATCAAGTACGGTATTACAACACTGGCGGGTATGATGACTACAGATGGAACAAGTATAGCGATACACTCCAAGATGAAAAAAGCGTTGGATCTCAGCAGCCAAAAATGACACACAGTTATGTAGTTAAGCAATACCGAGTACGCGATACTAAGCATGCTGCACGATCCAAACCAGCAAAACAGAACACCGTAAAATAAAGTCCCTTCAGTGCCATATCTTAATGGACCCAGATTCAAAATCACAGGGATATGGTAACAGAATGTATGGCACAAACAGGAGGCAAAGTTCGTTGCATAATAGAGCGGGAAATACAACGTTACAATACATGAGGATTCGGAACAATCTCATTAGCTCAATAGAACTTGTTTTCATCACATATAAAGTAAATACGATTACTATATTCGAGACTGTGCAGTATAATAACATCCCATTCCGCTGAATATAAAAATAAGGCGCATGTTTCTCGTATATCTCGAAGATGCCGACAAAAAGGGAAGGGTTCATTCCTGACGAACAAGCACTAACTGTGGAATAATCCCTGCTCGTACACTCTCTGGAAATGCAGTTTCTTTTTATATTGCAAAATGATGAATATTGGCGGAACCACCAAACTCCATTTGTCCTGTTAGCAGAAATACGGATCAGTTCGCAATAATCCCTGTCTTCAAGGATAAATTAGCTTACTCACTAACACGCAACACACGTACACGCAATTTTTTATGCCTAGTCTGTCTCTATACTGTTCACATGGAATATTGCAATATGCAAATATAGACTGGTTGCAAAGCTAAAACCCCTGACAAAAAGGAGTGTCAAGGAGGAGCAGCCCTCTCTTTGGCAACAACGCAGTCATTCTAGCGAAGCGAAGCGCAATTTGCTTTGCTGGGGAGAGGGGCATATTGCAAGGCACACACACTATTGGTTGGGGATTTTAGTCGACCTCTATACACCCACCTTTTTTTGAGTTCACGACCCCGGCCGCCCGCCCTCTGTCCTCCCTCCCATTCTTTGTAATCATAGTTTGTTTCTGTATTAGCTCGTGTCTATTTATGATGGGGGATTTGAGTAATATTTGGCTACTATTTTGTGTATAACATGAATATATTGGGAATTGCCGCGAGTTATTATATATCTACCTTTTTCTCTTCTCCTCCTTTCTTTACATATTCATAAGTATAAAATTATCTACTATCAGTACTGTTATCCTTCCCTCAATATCTGTATCCTCTTCCTTTCTTTTTCCTTGCGACCAAATACGACCGACCCCCCTATTGGGGATTCCTCAACAACGATGTGCCCTGGCATATTGTACTTTCGCTACTTCTCATCGCCGTATCGAGCCAAGACATGTTACTAGAGACCACTTGTCAACTCTTGTAAAGCAATGAACACGAAGATGGGAAGTAACAAAAGAGCCCTGATTTAGGCCACCCGCCCCCTCCAAGCTGAACTGCGCCCAAAACAATGCTTGCAAAGCGTTTATCCTCGCGGTTCATTGTCGGCACTGGCCACCCTCGCTCAACACGTGAAACGTGCGTTGCGCGAGCCTTTGGTACAACAGCAGTCCAGTTGAGAGGGTAACACGTGTAATGGATAGGGCATTGTCCGCAGACGGTGAGGCGTTGTGTCCCCTCTGGAGTCACGGCTTTTGCCCATGAACCAGTATTCATAACTGGATGCACTAGCTTCAGAGATTTATGTAATTCAAATCTGTTTCGAAAAAATTACCTCAAGGTTTGTCTCCTCCTAAGCGGCTCAACTGCAGAAGTGATTACCTCATTTATTAGGGCAGGTGGAATTCTATGAGCTACCCTGATAATTACTGAACACCTGAGGCTACATTTTCTTCGATGATGTTCGATCACATACAAGGACGCAGAGCCCTTAGCAATGAGGTCGGAAATCAGACGTTGTCAGAAGAAAGACTTTTGAGTGAGATGTTTGGAAGCGTAAGCAGGAATGTCCTGCGCCACGGTCATTACACGTAATTAAAAAAAAGGTTTGTGACCACTGTTTTTTCAGATATAAGAGATTTTGTGTCTAGACTGTCGCTACAAAGATTTCTGAAGGGAGCGCTGTCCAGTTCGACCGACTGTTTTTTGATCCAAGACAATGATTTGCCTTAAAGGCAGTTGGCACGATAAATCCCCCAAGACGACTAGGATCAATACTCCTGGCAGGATAGAATTCCGCGACCCTGGGCAGGCGCTGCATAGCGGTTTCCCCGAGGAAGGTGCCCTTATAAGGGCCCTATCAAGCCACAACTTTACGTCCCAAACGCCCCCGCCCACAAATGGACGACCGTTCCTGACGCTCGTATTCATTCATTTGCTAAGCAAATTATGAAGCGAAGGGATTGGTATGAAGCGGCCGTGATGCTGCATGCATACATGGGTACACATATGCAGCCGTATCTTCGGTAGCGGTGATTGGTAAGATGCCTACGGGAAACTCGTCCGAAATCGATTTTCAAGTCACTGAGAACGGAGGCTTTTTCTTCGCAGGATTTTGACCGTTTCACTCCGTTCTTTCGCCATTTCCCCACTAACAGCGCCTATAGCTTTTAGGAGCTAAAGTGAGAAACAATGTTGCCAATGCTTTAAAGAAATGGTACGATCAACAAATTGTAGGGTGTATCGTAAGACTTATCAGACCCACAGGCTGTCGATGGCAGTCGTGTTCATCAAACACCCAGAACTGAACGAGAGAGTCAGGGTAGGGGGCGTTGGGCAAAGTAGATAGTCCTGCTACACCCGGCTTTCGCAACTCACGTTTATGCTAACACCGTCGCGGCGCGTGTCGCGTGCAGCTCTCTTGGCTTTTTGCCAAGTCCTGTAATTGCGCTTTGGAATACAAGTAAAACGCAATTTCTTTATGCGGATAACATTTTAGGTGCTGCAAAATAAGAACCGAAGATGATGACGAGGGCCAGAACTCAAGAGCAACTGTGCTGCTTCTGCAATATCCCTCAGAGGCCGCGCATTCCCACAGAACATGACAATAAAACATGACAATACAAGCAAAACGCAATTTCCTAACATTTGAGGTATTGCTCATGCTTCAAAGTCCGAATAGAAGGTGATGAAGATGACAAAGGCTAGAAATGAAGAACAACGAATGTAGATGTAAATAAAACAAAATTAAGGAAACGCAAATAATTAAAATCGCGTGTGCATTTCTGCGATCCGGCTCGAATCCGGCTCTAAAGCTATAGAAATACTTCAAACTAACGAGTGGGACGCTTAGGCCGTTTTTTTTTCGTGGAAATGCGCGGCCTCCGAGGGATATTGCAGAAGCAGCACAGTTGCTCTTGAGTTCTAGCCCTCGTCATCATCTTCGGTTCTTATTTTGCAGCACCTAAAATTACAGGACTTGGCAAAAAGCCAAGAGAGCTGCACGCGACACGCGCCGTGTTAGCATAAACGTGAGTTTGCGAAATGGGCGGTGTAGCAAGGAATTACGACTTTCCCACGGCCCCGTACTCTGACCCCGTGCAGTTTTGGGCGGGGGGACCACGACACATCGACAGCTGGGGGGCTGATAGTCTCATACACCCTCAATGTGTTTGAGCGTACCATGTCTTTAAAGTAAAAATTGTGTTTTTCCTTGCTCTCTCTCTCGCCCGCGTGGCACTCTATGGTCATAGTGACTTTGCACATTGCAGCTTTTCACGTAGTGGCTCACCCACACCGGAGTCCCCTCTAAAAAGTTCGTTTCCTGGCTCGCCATAGTTCCTTGCACGTCTCGATGATCTCACAGACGCTGTCGTCCTCTGCCTGCGTTTCTAGGTTTTGCAGCGGGACAGTGCACAAAAG